AAATAGATTATAAAGAATTTAAAGCATTTAAATCATTGAAAAGAAAAGTGAGATTATTAAATAATGAAAAACTATTACAACCAAATATTACATCTTATTTCAACAAATAATTTTTAATTTCCGCATGTATTATTTATTATGTTATTAATTGTATTATTTATTTATTATTATTAAAAAATTTTTTGCCGATCATCACCAATTTTTCCACAGCGGATTTCTCGTCATAACGGATTTTTTTGGTTGGAACCATGAATCCGCTGTGGCGAGGTTTGACTGTATGTTTTACACCCCTGCGGGAAATGTCTTGTGACTATTACCTCATTTATCATTTCTTATTATTATGTATAGATCCGTTGAAACGAGGTTTGACTGTACTTTGTATGATTTCAAAAGGTGTTCCAGTTTCTAAAAAAGACACTATATATTTTAAATTTTATATTTACATAAAAATCATGACAAAACCTTTAGGATGCCAGAATGTTTTTAAAAATGATAGATAGCTGGGTCTATCCAAACAAAAAATTTTTTTTTGATCTTTAATCGGTTTCATAAAGGCGAAAAGGATTGGCAAAATCTTCCAAGGCTGAAACTTGCCTCTACAAATTAAAATTACATGAAGATTATGGAGGATTTGAGGGGAAATCATTCGTATCAATGAAGTTGATTCAACGGGATAACTTATTACACCATTAGTTAAATCTTTTCATATATATTTTATAGTTTTAAAATTTTTTTTTTTCAATTAAGATTTGAAAATTTTGTTTACTTTTTATTAATAAAATTAAAAAATTTTTTTGACTATATATACATATTTGACGGGCTACCCAAACGTATAATATTATTGCTGAAATTTTTTTTTGGTATTAAATGTTCTATAAATAAATTTAATCTATCAATAACAAGTAATTAAAAATAAATAATTTTCGTAACAAACAAACTAATTAATTCTAGCGGAATTTTCTTGAAAATTTGACTTCTTTATAAAATTTTTTCGAGTAGTTGAAACAACATGGATTATATACGTTATCAGAATTCCCAAGAATATACCTTCGATGAAACCAAGAGTTGCCATGAAAACTGCAGTGGCTACTATAGTGAAATATTCTAAACTATTTACAATTTCCCAGGAATCAACCAAAGCTTCTTTCATTAACTCTATACCTAAATGAAAAATGAGTGCTCCAACAGCCATCACTGGTACATATGCTACAATCCAAGGTCCAACAATTAAAATTATAAAAGTTCCTGCTGCAAGCATCAATCCTGCAACACGACTATCCCCGCCAGATTGAATAAATAAAAGGGAATTTGTGTATACCAAATAATCTAATTTGATTTTAAGGATAAATTAATTTAACATACGCACGCACATACTTTATTCAGAAAATAAATTCAAAATTACTTACTTTGAACACTTCCACAAAAACCAGAAATCATATTTGAAAAACCATGAGCTATCAATTCACGATTTGTATCCACATTATCTTCTTCAAGTGAAACACCCAACGCAGGTACATTTATAGGTACATGTAAAATACCAAAAAATGTAAGAGCAAACATTGCTGGAACTGTCTTTAAAATAGCATTCCAATTTGTTTTACTAAAATCTAAAAGTTAAATACACAAATTAATATATATATATAATAAAATAATTTCAATAATAATAATTTTAAAGCATAGGAATAAAACTCTACCAAAATGATTATAAAAGTTATACCAAGGTGTGTCATTATCTAATGATATATTAAACACCCAACCATCGTCTCTTAATTCCTGCCAATCCAATCCAAAAATATATACAATTGCATAAAATATAATAGGAATAATCATAAAATATAAAGGAACAACAAGGCTGTAATTTAATCTAGATTGGATAAACCTTAGAAATATCGCTAAAGCAAGTGCAGAGCCACATAACAAGGG